TTTTTAGTGGTTCGGTCCATGTGACCTACTCCATTCTCGGGAACAGCAGCGGTGGCTTGAGTCTTTTATTAATGAATGAAGTCGCTGGAGAGAATATTCTCCATGAGTATTACAGTGCTTAGAGGGAGAGAGAGAGAGAGAGAGAGAGAGAAAGAGAGCAATGTGTGTAGGAATGTATAGTATGTGTAGGAATCTCAAGGTCAAGAAGGCATCAAAAAGGTGATGAGGTGATACCCTTTTTGTGGAGAAGGCTTACGTTAAATAGGCTTAATAAGGCAGTGACGTGATGACGTGAAGAAGAGGACTTCTACTATTTTAGTAAGTACAATTTTAGTAGGATTGGATCTCCGTATCCCGATATTCTTTCCCTCGTGCTCCTATTCCGTCAGAGGACGATCTTAAGCTGGGTTGGACTTGAGTTGGAGTGGCAAAGTGAAGAGTGCGAAGAACTGCGCAAGAGATGGAGCATGGAACTAAGGAGAGAAGGGATTCCCTTGGGATGACCCCCTTGGGCGGCGCCCCTTTAGGGTGTCTCCCTTGGACTCCTCCTTGACTTGATGACTTGGGCTCTGAGATGACGTGAGTCTCTCTTGATTCGTTGGGCCTAGTCCAGTTAATTTCGGGCTCATCAAGTATGACTGCCAATTGCCCAGTTTTAGCACCCTATTTGGTTTTTTGTTCATGCTGATATGGAACCATTATTTTGTGAATCCAATCTCTGGACGACTTATCTTGGTGTTGCTTGGTTTATTAGGATGATATGTCATTTTTCAGGTGAACATAGACCGTGTTCTACTTTCTAATTTATTCCTATATGAGACATTAGCCATCATGTTTGTATCCGCTTATTGATCTCTCCAGTGATAAATGACTCGTGTCCTCCTGGCTGTCACTTTCTGGGGATTCAAGGATAGCAAAGAAGAATGGAAGTACTAACTTACTTTTTGCAAGGATGTTGTGTGAATACCATTCGAGCATGAGGCACTGATGGTATTTGAAATTATGGTGATACCCATGTTTTTCTAATTATTTTTTCAAATTCTGATTAATGTTTAGTCATAATTGCTATTGAAATGTCCATTATGGCATGATGGCTTCTAAGACAAAGCTTATAACAAATCATTATGTGGGCACACGATGATGTTTTGCACAACATATGAAACATGCTCTTCGTGGGTTTCTTCTCGAAGCTCAGCTCGGTGTTTTACTCTTTGTAAGTGTCAATAACAATATGGTATAACTTATGTAATAAATACTTAGTCCTATGGTAATTCACTTTGAAGTTAACTTATTTGCTCCGCCAATTCTCGGAATGTGTACGAGATACCCCATATGGGTCTAATATCTCAATAGCATCTTCTGTTTATAGTTTTTTCTGTTAATGAAATGGTTCTCAACAGTTCCACTTTGCCAATGGTCATACTTCCTATTATTTGCAGTCATGGACGAGGATTCCTCTTGATTTTTTTCTGTAGATTCGGAATTTGAATTTACAATCTCAATATGAACATGTAGTTGGAATATAAACAGAGGATTCAATCTCAAATTGGGATTTAAACTTAAAAAGGCGTTTGTAAATGAGTTTGTGTCATTTTAAAATATGTTCAATTTATATCTTATAGTCGCGTATAGTTAAGCTCATGTTGTACTGGATTTTGTGGCGTATATTAATCGTTTATAAATTATATTTAATGGATTCAAGTCATATTTAACAAAATTTGTGTCGATATGATTGGTCTAATGAGGTTTATCTATTTGTTAGAGGATCAGTGATTGGTCTAATGGCCATCGCAGCCTGCCGTTGAACTGTTAGGTTACGGGTTCAAATGATGATTTTTCCTCTTTCAAGCTTGATTTGCTTTCTCATTAATGTATTTGAGTGTCATACAGGCTAATGCTTTGAAAATCTAATGACCATTCTTATTAGCTAAGATAAGAATTAGGTTGTTTTGTGCTTATTATTAGCATCTAAAAAATCAATTCGAGTTAAAGCATTAAAATGTATGCGTAAAATAAATGATTAATTATCAAAATTATTATTTTATTATATTTAATGATTGGTTAAATACATATTATTTATGATTAAATGTGTGAAAATTTCTTAATTTTCTAATTTGATACTTTTTCTAGTTGTTTGGTTTATTTTACAGGTAAATTAATTGATTTATAATAATAATGTATAATGCAAGTGAAGCAATCACTAGAAGAAGAATCGTCATTGATAAGGATTGAAGAGTCAAGATTGCAATAGGAAGACTTAAAGATATGACATCAATTTAATCCTTATAAGAGTCCAAGTTGAAAAAAACTCATTTAGAGTTAGATTAGGAAAGTATTTTAGAAAATAAGGATTTGATATGTCTTCAGTATTTTGGTTATAACTTTTGACTCTAATGTCTGATTTACTTAATTTTTGGATGTTGGAAAGAAGACTCCAAGAGCTACAAAAGTGTATTTCACGAAATTTTTGTGATTCAGCCTCTAAATATGCAAAATTCAAGCTCGAAGTCTGGACAGATTTTGTACCCGCGTTCCAAAGATTTTATGCACAGAATTTAACCTTACAAGACTTTTTTTTTTGGAAAAGAATTCCTTTCAACCTGTATTTAGGATTTATTTTTAGTATAAATAGGGGTTCTCTTTTAGAGATTTAGATTTTTTTTTTCCCCATCTTTTTGTTTTGATTTGAGTTCGTCATGTCTGGCTAGAAGACTAAACTAGGGTTAGGGAAGAACCTCTCAATGAAGTACGGTAATGTTAGTAATTATGAATTTAATAATTTATGATATTTTGTTAATTTAACTTTTGATCTTCTAGCAAAGTTTTTGCTCTGTAAAAATCCTTAAGTCGTTGTGCCATGTACATCGATTGCTTAAATTTCCTTACGAATAAATAACTGGTTATTTCACGTTTGAGGTAAATTATCATTATTTCATAAAATAATATAATTGGATGATTATTTAGGTACCTGAATAATCTTTTGATTATAACTTTTGGTTTTCTTACTTGATTTGTTACTCGAATCAACCGACATCTGATTTTGTTTCAAGTTAAGATTTGAGTCTTTAATCACTATTGTATGAAATTGAGAGGGAGTACCTGATGCTTTAGTATTTTTTATATTACTGTTTTAATTATTTAAATCAAATTTTTTTCAGTCAATAATTTTCTAAACAAATTATTTATTTTTAAATTTGTTTTAGTATTTGTGTGATTATTTTCTTGTTACAATTCTTTGAGGATTCGACCTCGGTCTTCCGAGAATTATATTACTTCGCTCAACCTGCGTTTGAGTTTACAATATTAAAGTTGAAGCAATAAACATAAATGGAGTTGTGATTTTGTGATCATAGAAATAAGTTGTCTTCGTGTTCTCATTCCCTTAATTATAGACTCTACAAATTCTAGACATTAATATTTCCATTTGTGATGATAATTTCTACAATACCAAATAAAATATAAAGTACAATTCCGAACAAGGTAATTTAATTTTTTGGTTCAAATTGGGAGCAAGAAGTAGTCACTATGATGGAAATGTAGGCTCCAATTATATTGTCCTTTCATTGGTAAAAAAAATAATTTTCTCTATATCAAAATGGCAAAATTTTTGTATACAAAATAAATTTCTACATCATCTAAATATAGACCACAATAATCTATGACATTTCCAAAGTGATTCTTTTGCCTTTGTAGAATCAGAAATCAAATTAGCCACTTATTACGTTTATTATTTTGTTGCATAAATATTACATCAAAATAGTTATGTGTCTGTGGGTTATAATATGAAAATAATTGTTTAAAAAAAATTAAACCAAGACTATGATTCACAATTTTAGTTCACGTGCAACACACGTATGCACCAACTAGTAGTATAGAATCAATTTTCACAAAAACAAATTACTAATTTTCATTGCTTTTGATAAAGGATAAGTATTTCAATTTTCACTAAAAAATCTAATTAAAATTATCATGCTATTTTGGAAATGATCATCATGCTCTTTTTAGCATATCTTAATCGGTATCTCCGACAAAAAAAAAAAGGTACTATGAAAGAAAAAAGAGTAGTCTGAGTTCAAGAATTGAGTATTGATAGCCTTGAAATGAATCGGCTGTGGCAAAATTTGAAATGTCAATATGTACTACAAACAATAATTCTGTATTTAAAAACACTATGTAATACTAAAAATTAAACATTGATTGTACAATATTTATATTTTAAATAACAATTTATTTTTTTTCTTTTTTTCTTTATAATTACACAATTTAAAATTAAAGTGGACAAAGAGAAAATAAGAGAACTGTAGAAGAAAGAGAAAATAAGAGAGATGTAGGGGAAAAAGAAACTAAAAGAGATATAGAGAAAAGAGAAAAGTAGATGTGAATTAATGAGGTTATTTTCTATTACGAAGTGTGTTTGGTTAAATTGTCTGACATGGTGGGTCATGTAAAGAAGATAATATTTTTGAATGGAAAAAAAATTATGATAAATTTTGTACCATTAGATCAAAGTAAAAGAAAATTAAATAAATTTATCTGTTATTATATTTTTGTAAATTGAAAATTCAACTTCCTAACTATAATATTAAATAGATTTGGATAGGAATTATCAATTTTCAAGTTGAACTTGGTCAAAATAATCTCAACCCAATTTATATACGAGCAATATTCAGATTAGACTCTCAAAAGTTTACGAGACATTGTCTTGAATGGAGGAAAGAGGCGCGGGGGTTTCTTTTACCTCCCTTTCAAACTGATGTTTTCAGTTCTTAATCAATAAAAGTATTATCGAGTTTTCGAGACTGTAAACTCAAACCCAATCCGAATTAGTAACCAAATTTGTATGCAGTTACATAGCAATAGTTCAGACTTCAGACTCCATAGAACTGTCAGATTGAACCACAACGTGCTAACATGGTCTGCCAAAACTCACAACTGCCAAATAAACTACCATCGTCCCCAAAAAAATCTCTCTCTCTCTCACACAGATTTTTTTTTTTCCTATGGCCCCAATTTCTGCAACTTTTCTTCTCTTCTTCTCCACAGCTTCCATCTCATTTTCTCTGATTCTCTCTGCAACAATCATTGAAGACCTTAACAATTTGCAACCACCCCCAGACTTCAACACAACACTCACAAACAACTGCCTCCACAACCCGTCTCTCAGATACTGCAATGCCACGCCTTTCAACCTCCCCGAGATCTTTAAGTCCACCATTGTTGCAAGCCATTTATGTAACGAGTCGAAGAACCCAAACTGTGTGGAATCATTTCCCAAGATAGACCTTCGGAGTCGTCCAAAGATAGCACCACTTTACTTGTCATTCAACTTCTTTTGGAAGTACTGTCCCTTAACAATCTTAACCATTGATCTGTCCAACAATTCTCTGAAGGGTAGTTTTCCATCTGATATTTTTCATTGTTCTCAAATCCAAGCTCTTGATTTGAGTCACAATGACCTCTCTGAGGATGTCCCAATACAAAACTTCTCTCTGCTCACAAACCTCACCTTTCTTAATCTTTCGTACAATCATTTCTCAGAGAGTAAGATTTCTGATTCCCAGTTCTTCAAACGGTTCAATTCTTCGAGTCTTCTTCATTCGGGTCTACTCCCAGATCACAGAAAGTTCAGAATCAAGGCTATACTCTTACTGCTTGGATTTCCAATCCTTATAATTCTCACGGTGGTTTGCTTGTGCTGGTTGTGTTTTTGGCGGCCAGACTTTCTACCTAGGGTGCTTCAAAGCAAACACAAGTTCACTCCATCAATGCTCAAGGCTGCAACAAATGGATTTTCAAAGAAGAATTTGGTAAATAAGAATGAAGGGGTTGGTATTTATAAAGGGCTACTGAGAGATGGGACTGAAGTGAGGATTGAGATGTACTGGGAACAAGTATCAAGAAATAACAGAAGGAAATTCATCGAAGAATGCAAGGTCCTTGTTGAATTATGCCATAAGAATTTGGTTCAAGTACTTGGCTGGTGCGATAATCGAAGATTGAGGTCCATCATCATCGAATGGGTAGATGAAACGAACATTGAAATGTGGCTATCAAGATCTGCTCCTCCATGGAAGCAGAGAGTGAAAGTGTTGATGGGAATTCTTGAAGGCATGTGTTATCTGCATGAGGAATGGCCTGAAGTTGGGTACGACCTAAAGACAAGTAGTATACTGCTATATGAGGATCAAGAACCACTGATATCAAGGTTCAAAGTTGGAGATCAAAACAGTAGCTCAAAAAGTGCGTCAATTTTTTTTATAACTGTTATGATTGTTGATGTTCCTTCAAGTTTTTTATGCATCTGAAGTGTTTGTAATTTCAGAGATCTACAGATTCGGAGTGTTGATGTTGGAGATGATAACAAATAGGAGGCCTTGGGAAGAGTTTGAGGGGGGTGAAGCTGGTTTTGTTGAATGGATAAGAATGTATTATCTCGACAATCTGGAAAATGTGATTGATGAGAGAATGAAGAAGACTGGACATGTATTTGATCAAGCTGCAGCCAGCATTGAATTAGGTTTGAAGTGCATGGATCTGTCAAATGGTCGGCAACCAAGCTTGGATCAAATCTTTAATAATGTGTCAAGAATTCACAATACCTGTATGGCTTCAGCATCTCCCAATCTCAAGAGACTGCATGGACATAGAGGGGAAGGACACTGACGCATGCAATCCAGATAAAGTTGATAAACCTGTTGAAACATGAAAACTTAGGCACATTTAGAAGTCATCTCGAAATGCAGCATTTCACTCACGTCCTAAATTTGCCAAGCAATTCTCCAGTTGTGCATCAACATTGAACATTTCTAACAAAAACTCTGTATAATTTTCTTGTGTTCAATATATAGTATGTCTTCAAACATTGAATCCCACATGTTAATGCATTATATGATTTCTACTTTTAAGCACGTCTAATATTGGGCAGCTTAAATTATACAATACAATCATATATAAACGCAATTATCCTAAAAGAAAATGGAGGCTGAACGTGCATGAATACATGCGCATAGAACTATACTCATGCAGTCGCAGCTAAAACATACAACAACAATGGTCAGAATTGTAATAGCATTGACAGCAGTCAGAGAGTATGTAGCCTCAGGGTACAGTATTGTTGGAAATCAAGCCCACGTCACCCCCTGTCTGTGCATGTTCCTCTCCATATTTAGCATCCTCTGTTTACTTCCCTGAATTAGTGTAATGTACAGCCTTTATTATAATTGATTTAGGAGTAATTCTAGCAAGGTAGTTTATTCACTTTCCATGTAGAGGAAATTCCGTCCGGTGATAGTGTACCATTCCAGAATTGTCTCACATCGGTAGGCTATTTATTTTATGCTCTCTTTCATTGTAAATATACGGATTAACAGAGTGAATTGGGTTGGTGTTTTTTAGTCTTCAAATTTCATCATGGTATCAGAGCATGGTTTAATCCTGTCTCATTGTCTTCATCTTTAGTCAGTTTTTTTTTTATGCCTAAATACGGTCCAGTCTTTGGAATGGCTACCAACTCATCCTCCTCTACTTCTGATATCATCATCTCATCATCTTCATCCTCTCATCAGATGGAAACCTCTCATCTTCCAATCACAGCCCATAAACTAAATGGGCAAAATTATTTGCAATGGTCTCAGTCCATATTAATGTTTATACGGGGAAAGGAGAAAGATGACTACATCACCGGAGCTTCGGCGGCACCAGAAACCACAGCATCAACCTACAAAAAGTGGATCGCAGAAATAATATGGTCATGTCCTGGCTAATCAACTCTATGACCACTGACATTGGCGAAAATTTTCTGTCATTTGATACTGCCAAAGAAATCTGGGACATGGCAAAAGAAACTTTCTCAGACAAGAGAAAACACATCTGAAATCATC